TCTCTCTCTCTTTCTCTCTCTTTCTCTTTCTCTCTTTCTCTCTTTCTCTCTCCCTCCCTCTCTCTCTCCCTCTCCCTCTCTCTCCCCCTTTGCTCCTCCCTGCCTCTCTCTCTCTCCTCCTCCTCTCTGTCTTTCTCTGATTGCTCGTTTGAATCGCAGCGCTCCCCGACATAATAATGTGATTATTTCTTTTGTTATCACAAATAAAAGCATGATCAAGCCAGCAGATAAAACACTGAAAGAAAATGTAAAAGAAATCAATGAATGGCGATCGAATTGCATGCCGCAGCTTAAAAAGTATAAAAAGAATCCATGGGTGCGATGGTGATTCGGAGCGCGCAATAATCTAAACGCCGGCAGATAAAACTACAGAAAGGCACACACCCACGTGAGAGGGATAAATGAACGACATCCATAGACAAAACAAAATCATTAGATTAGAATATCTGTTTTATCTTAAAACTAACTTTGAAAATGTTTTAGAGTTCGATTCTTTATACCCGTCATGCGATACACAACATTAACATTTTGGTCTTTAGAATCGTTGCTACCCCACAAAAGATAGTTATCTGATCTATCACGGACATGTTGTGGCTCCAGAGAAGGACGTACACCTTACGTCTGAAACGTATGTTCAAAAACCTTGAAACCTTTGATTCGACAATTTTGGGGGAACGAAGAAGCAAAACAATTACTAAGAACGTATTTTACCAGTTTTCTGTTTTTTAAATTAGATGTTCCAACATCGACTACTTTGCAGTTTTCGCATACGTTAATTTTACCTTATTTCCATTTTACAGTTCGAATGAGCTTGCAAGTTTCATTATCGTTGTCCTTTGCTTAAGTAGTCATTGAGGAGAAGACTCTTGATTTTGATAACAAGGTTCAACATACTAACAAAAATGTATGACTCAGACAACGAGTTGTCCCATCGACAATTTTGAAAACTAAGAGTTAAAATGATACGTTTTAGATTCAGGTTTCGGATTTCAAGACTGTACTTACAAGCACTATGATCTCGTGACTCTCAAGTTTTTAATGCACAGTAAAAGTTGAAAATCTTCAAACACAACAGCGTCCTAAAATCATGTATATATATATATGTGTGTGTGTGTATG